GCACACTGCCCCAGGGGATGCTGCACGACTGCCTCCTGATCAGCCTGGACCGTGCCACCAGCATCCGTACATCTGTCAACCCTGGTGCCATCATCCGAGGCACCAAATACAATGACATCTCCTCACTGTCTCTGCCCGCTGAGCTGCTCACCCCCGACTACAGCATCCCCGAGACCCAGGATGAAGTTCACAACGTGCAGCAGCTCAGCACCATCGGAGCAGGGCCCCAGGAGTGCTGGTGGGATGTGGGGACACACCTGCCACCGCCCCAGCCTGGAGAACCCAAAAAGAGGGGAGAGAAGAGGAAAAACGTCTTCCCAAATCCACCAAGCAAGCGGAGGGCTCCTGCAGGCAGCAGACGTGTGTATTAAGCTTGCAGACCTCTCCCCTGCCTGCGGGACCCACCAGCTGCAATTTCTGGGTGGGCACTAGTTTGTGTGGGTTGTTGGGGGGATTGTTCTTGTTTTTGTTTGGGGGGTTGTTCATGTTGCTGTTAGGGGCGTTGTTCAAGTTATTCTTTGGAAGGGGTTGTCTGTGTTGTTCTTTGGGGGAGGTTGTTCATGTTGTTCCTTGGGGGAGATTGTTTGTGTTGTTGTTGTACTTAAAATAATTCCGTACTTCAGTACACTTTCCATATCTCAGTCTGAGGGAAAAGAATAACTCGAAACCACTCTTAAGAGTACTACCATGAAGAAGGTATCATTCCTATGACTGCAGAAACCCCATTCAACACCAACTGTGTCACAGGTACTAGAAGGTAAAGGGGCCCAAGATAACTGGTTAATATTCAAGGACCACTTCTTCCAAGCTCAAGATAGTGCATCCCAAGAGGTAGGAAATCAAGAAAGAGAGCCAGGAGAGCTGCACAGTTAACTAGGGAACTCAAATGGAAGAAGAGAGTCTACAGATCATGGAAGGAAGGGCTGGCCACTTGTGATTCTGTGAAAAACAAAAAACGATGACATGATGGAAGGGAGATGAAAAAAGCAATGGGAGTAGAATCTATTACTACAACGGCTACTATTTCTTCAGGTGCTAAAATATACCAATGAATGACTTAAAAATGCATTACAAAGGCAAGTGGGTGAGGGGGAAAAACCCTAAAGAAGGTGACTTCTGAGCACTGCTTGGAATCTCATTTTAGGATAGGTTAAAGGAAGAAATTGCAATCGAGTCCTCCTGAGTCTAAAACAGTAGTCTTAGACTGCACCAGAACGTTCCAAATTATCTCCTGTTGTCTACAGGAATCGCATTTTTATTTTGAACTTGAACAGCATCCACCTCTGAGTATTTCTCACTAAGTGTTCCTTAGAATTATCAGATGCGAGACAATTAATATAAAACTGTTCTCTTAGCTTTCTAAAGGAAAGCATTGTACTGCCTCTAAAGTTTCTAAATTCAAATAAGCAACTCATACTTATTTTGTTTGATTGACTTGGGTTTTAAAGATCAGAAAATCTCTGACAAATCCAATGGCAACAGTTAAGAAAGATTATAAATTACTCTTACTCCTCCACAGCAGACTTTCTCTACTGTCAGACGTCCAGAAGAAACATGAAATGTATTTTGCAATGAAATGGACAAGAATTACTCTCTTTAACTGTTCTACCAGCTTGCTTGTGAGTAATCTCTATCAGAAAAGATGGCAACAAGGAACTACAAGAAGGACCATTTTGAATTACAACTCTTTCCACAGCAAACATCTCATCACAGGCTTAAACTGGCTCAGAGCAACTCAACATCTCATGCTTGAGAGTTCTTTAATACCACGCAAACAGGACTGGCCACCGTGATGGGATGTGCAGGGTACAACTCAACCACTACTCTGAGCAGAGCAGCTACAGGAATGTTTGACTGTCACATTTTACTCATTCTGAGAAAGAAATACATTCTGCTCTACCTCTAAAACAGGATTTATATGAACACCACAGATACTCAAGAAGGACTTGAAGTCAAGTCTACACAGCAAGTGCTAGAGCATCCTGCCTTAAGTAAGCCTGGCACACTTAGCTTTGCAGTTATCAGGAAGGATACATTACAAAGCAAGTGAATTGCCAGTTTCATACATTCTCAATTTTAGCGATGCACAGCAACTGACATACATGATTGAATCTTCGGAGTCTTCTAGAAAACTTCAAGGATCGAGAAAGAGTCTTTCAGGTAATGTCTTACACTATACTGAAGCAGGCATGGGGATTATTTTGTAACACAGAATCATAGTGAAGTACAGCTAAGAAAAAAAAGTGATATTTTTTTACACTTACAAATTCTTCTGCCAGTCACATAGTAGAATGTGCATTTGAATACACAAATAATAACGTACACAAATACAATTAACTTTTCTAAAAAGTTGTTTAAATATTCAATTTTTAGCTCCAAATATGTCACGTGACATACTCAGCTACTAAGTTCCACAAGTAAAAATTACACTGATCTTTAAGGTGGGTTGCACCTATGTGTACTTCAGCTTTAACCAAAAATAGTTATTTTCTACGGACTTAAGTTGTGGGCATTTACTGGAATTTCTGCTCTTTCTCAAATAATGCTTTGATTCCATCTGCCATGACAATATGTTTCTTCCTCCTACTCTTCACGATGCTTCCGTTTGTGCTCCACAAATACAAAGTCACATATGAAACAAGATGAGAAATTTAAGGCCAGCAGATCAACAATTTATAAATATTGTTTTCAGCTTTTCTGTCATACACACATCACACAAGGCCACTACTTGCCACTTGGAAAATTATTAGTCTTTTTTTCTGTTGAAGGTACATTATAGAAAAAGTTTCAAGCCGCTAGTTCAGATATTTAATTGACGGTTGCTTTTTAACAGATTTGTTTTTCTACTGCCACTACTGCATTGCTCAACAAATGATAAAAAAATAGTTCTACAGTACATATAAACTGATATGCTTTACGTGGTTGATCCAAATCCTATTTCAATCATTTTTTTCCATCAGTAGTTAGCTGAATTTTGCTGTATAAAAGAAGTGTACACTTGAGGGCACTACAAAGAGCAACAAAGGAAAGGGCTCAGCCACATCTAGAAGTCCTGTAATCCAGCAAAAGTTAACTGGGCTCTCTTTGTTCTGAAACAGCAGTTTCAGAAACCTTTGTCTCTTATTCAGATCACTTTTCAGATGTAAAATGCAACTGGACATTTCTGCAGATACAGTGTGGGCCCTCAGTTATATAGAGTAAATAGATAAAGCATGGGCAGATAGACAACTACTGATTTTAGCCATTTAGTCTGAAAATTTGCTTTAGAGAAGAGATAGGTACTGGCAGAAATAAGAAAAATAAGGCTGAGGAATGGTAAAATAAACACCACCAAAACCCAACAAACTAAAGAAGAAAAACCTGATAGATTAAGCAAGCTGAGTGCCACGTGAAAGCATGAAAAGCGCGTCGTTACAGGAAGGCTGCTGAGCCTACCTACCTACCAAACAAGTTTTGAAGGAAGGATGGACATGAAACAAACATTCATACTTGTTTGCACTGATGAAGTTGATTTGATGGAAATTTCCCAGCACTAGCAAGTAATAAACACGTTTTACTCCTATATATTTAGTCACAAATACAGACGTGGGCCAAAAAAATGAGATTTTTAAATTGCAAGGTCACTGGCATAACCTCAACATCAGCTGCCACAGAGATCTCTGAAGGTATAGCTGGCAGGTAACATGCCTAGGAATCATTGAAAGCAAACAAAAAAGAGAAAGGTGTCTACATATAAATAAATGTTAAATCCTCACTTTAAGTACTTTGCAGACAGGACACACAGTCATTACTAACAGCTAAATGGGAATTAAATCCTCAAATTTATAATAAATATAACTATGAACATCATCTGAATCACCTAAAAGCCTGTGCTTAATAATCTCTGTATCTGACATTACAAAACACCAAGTTTACAATTTTTAAGAAGTCTAAACATGGTTATACAATTTCCAGAACAATTTTTAGGCCAACAGAAGCTAGAATAAAGTGAAATGAAGGCAGCTGAAGAGACTGTAAGAGAAGAAACATTAAGAGCAGTTGACTTGTACTATCAGAGAGATATAAGGAGACTCAGCTAGTAATTGGCAGTAGTTACTTCCACTAAATAGAAAACAAAAAGATATCTACCATAAAAACTAAGCCTAAAGATGGCTTAAAAAACGTGCCAGTGACCAGAAATAAAGATACCTGTCAATATCGTCTATTTTCTGCATATTAAACAGCAACGACGGTACAATCTTGTCCATGTGCTGAGGTTCCCATATAGTTGCTCGAAGTTCATCGTTAACTGTTTTTCGAACCACTCCCTGAATGCCCCTGATTCCAGCAATACGGATCCTAAGGAAGGAAAAAAGGAATTATTGAAAAGGAAAGCTGACAAAGCAAACAGTTGAAGATGATCTGCAAAGATAATGTTGACATGGGTCAATGAACACTCCAAACTGTGCATACCACCCCGAAAGAAAACCCCATAGGTAAAATCCCACCAATCCAATGCAATTTAGTGCCCATCTGTTGACACTGCACAACCTCAACCTGTGTCGGTGCTGACAAAAACTACTGTGAAGTTACCACAGTAAAGCTGGAGTGATAGCTACCAGAGCCATGGGATCACGTCCTTCAAAGTTGCAATTGAGGCTCTGGACGAATCATAACAAATCCTAACAGATCTGTGCAGGACTCTCAAGATGGAAAGCAAAAGACATCAACTTAAGCCTGGTGCACAGAAGGAACTACGCTAAAACCCTTCAAATCAAGTAAATTGAGAATTGATCAACAACAATAAAAATGAAAAATTAATATAAATTCTAAAAATTACTTAGTCTGGCTGACAGTTATTTTTTGTTGAGCAAAAATAGTTTGCAGGAGAAACTGTACAATGAAATGAATGGCAAAATTTTGAAATTGTATTAGCAAATTAACTATTAAAATAAATGTTAGGAATAGAATTTTACTTACTGAAAACAAGTAGAAGAAGGGGTAATACAGCAATCAAGTGAAAGAAGCACAAGCTCTGCTAAAACTTCAAATTAATTCTATTTAAACTACATGCATCATTTTTTAATTCTTAATTTCAGTATGGACAACACATAACTAGCCTTTGTTCAGTCAAATTCACTGTATTAAAATATTGGCTAGATGAAGTACGGAGCTAACCGAACTCCGTAATTACTATCTTTGTTTGAATTTCCACTTGCAAATACTTGAATCTGTAGGCCCTTGGTTTTCAGCTGTTTCTTGACAGTCATGCACATCCAACGTGGATCCAACACCATTCCACACCTTTCAAGATAGTTTTAATAGGGTTACATACAAAACAGGGAAGAAGAGGGATGCACAAAAAGCTAGAAAAGCACCTGCTGTGACTGTGCACTACAACTACAGTGCAGTATCCAGTATTAACTTTTCAACATTAAGGATCGAAGACTGACATTTAAGACACAGTGCTTCCAAAATTCCATCACTGAAATATTTTTATTTATTTTTGCTTTTTAATTATTAGATACTAAAGCAACTGAGTATTGCTGACACCGTGGCTTTAGATACATTAAATACCACCACTAACCTCTCTTGCTGAAAGAGAAACAGCAGTTACCAGGGGAGATTCAGCTTGAGACTCAGAAGCCTATGTACGTGTGTAGATGATATTTGGGCTCCCAGTTCAAGCCAGTTAGATCAGTGGAACCTCAGTCTATGCAGGTGAACAGTGACTCCAGATGTCTGCTTTAGGGTGAGTTAAACTGAAGTACTGTCTAGCCCACACCAGTAGTATCGACTGCTTGTGATATCTGCAGTTAGAGTTCTCACCTGTAGTCACAGCTCACCTGTTTTGCTGAATTCCTTCAGTACCTACAGCAAATCTGGCAGGTGAACTCCAAGAATGATTCCTGTTCATAAAGATCTCTTTCGAAACAGATACATTCAAACTGTCTAGGTTGGTGAGAAAGAAGTCATATTGCTGCACATTTCGTTCACCTGAGTAAAAATTTGATTCACATGGGGAAAGAAGATCGCATGGTTGGGTACTGGAGTGCCACTACCACTAATTTCATGTTCTCACTTGTACAGAGGTTGAACTATGGGAGCTGAAGTTGAGAAAGGTGCAGCATCAAATTTCACCATGTAAAGGAAAAGTTTCACTCCTCTAAAGAAGGCTCAGATAGGCATTAAAGCAGAGAGCACATTTAAATTAAGGTCTTATATCACTACAATGAAATTCCTCCCTGTCTAAAGATACACCAGCATTGCAAACTGAAGCAGAAAATGGTGCAGGATGACAATCTGAAGAGGGAAACATTAGCACAGTTCTCTCACTTCTATAGCAACCAGTTTTGAGGCTTTTGAGTTTGGGGTATCCTTATGAGTGGTAGATTATATCTGATAGATGAATCAGGGATGTGCCAGTCTCAATTCATTCCATCTTCTAGTTCATTACTAATATTACCTCTCATTTGCAAGGGGCAATGAAGGTGAAAGTAGTACTAAAAATCCTGAGCTCAGCTTCGTATCCTAATCTCTGATGACATGTTTTATGGTAAGTAAGTAGTTTAACGTTTCTAGTTTAGTTTCACTAAGCTTAAAAAGGCGAAAATATCAAAAAACTCATTAAAGCCTTTAGGAATGCTATTTGCAACCATCAGCTTCGGGTAAATATTCAGTACGTGACAGAAGCTGTGAGATAGTTGCAGGGTACATCAGCTTCACTATTGCCACCTGCTCAAGACATTTCCATTCCCTTTGATCTCTGAGCTCAATTCAGTTAGGTCATAGATCATAGATCATGGATCACGGAATGGCCTAGGCTGGAAGGGACCTTAGAGATCACCTAGTCCAACCTCCCTGTTTTAGGCAGGGACGCCACCTCTCGACTAGACCTGGCAACACATGGAGTTCTTTCCCCACCAATTCACGTGGTCATCCCGTAAAACCATGTACAAGGATAACCTTCCTAAAGGGAGAAGAGGGTGGGGGCAGGGAAAAAAGTACCAGAGAAATAGGCAGATTTAATCCTAAACCCTTTTAGGGCCAAAATTTACAGCAGAACCCTATGCACAGCAACAGGACAACAAATCAAATGGCAGCAACTCACAAAAAAGAAAAAAGAGAGCAACAAACCAGAACACTAAAAGAGGAAGTAAGTTTTGGTTTTCTTTTCTTGTGCCTTCTCCCAAGTAATACACATAGGATTGAGTCTTTTGGAAAATACTGTTCACAGATTTTGGAATCTGTATACTTTTAAGAAAAGTCCTTATGCGTTGCAGCTAGCAAAACAACAGCACCCCCACAGGGTTTCATAAACGTTCAGCACATGGATTTTTTGTAGTTGGCTTAACAATTTAAGGCATGGAAATAGAAAAGATAAGTACAACAGAGATACAAACAATATGAACTGGAAAGGCTTTTTTTCTAACAATTCATATAAGGAACGCATCGCTAGGGGGAGCTGAAGTAAAAAAAAACAAAAAAAAGTGGTGTTTACATAAACTCGTAAAAACTTATAATACAAATTTATGAAGGCATTTCAGTTTCACAGACAGTATCATACTGCAGACATGTAAGAAAAATCAATTTTAATGAGTAATTCTCAAACAGCAGACCCTAAACACGCTTTTTGCTATTCATATAAGTAGCCCCATAAACTTTTGAAATAAGTTACGCAACTTGCACACATTTACAGTAATACATAGTGCCTTGGTGGAGAAAATCCACACAATCTAGCAGGCATTATTCAGGTAAAACTCCACTTAAGTATTCTAGGAGTTCTAGCCAACTAAGATTTACAATATTTGGTGCTATTAAAAAAGTCACACATTCATTTTCTTCCTATAGAATGAACTATTCCAGTAAATATAATAATGAAAGCAGTATTACAGACTACATTAACGTGTTAAGACAGTTTTCTGTACCACAGGCAGAATGGCACTTACTCAGTTTGTATTTCTGGATCGTGGTCACATGAATGACACATGGCACTGAATCGAGACACAAAGAAGTCGTAGCGTCTGTGATATGAAGGTGTGTCTTCCTCAATGTTGGCAAACTTGACGAACTACAAAATGAAACATGTTAAAAAAGCTTGTGATACTGATTTCTGAAAAGAGAATAATGAACATTAAGCTTCACTTAAGAAGAGACATAAGACATTACATTAGGAAAGAATCCAGATTTGACAAGATGTAAATATTTAACTTCAGAGAAGAAAAAGTTAAATGGGAGATCTTTATGAAAGGGTGCAAATGCATGAAATACAACATAATAAGCAATATGGAAATACCTAACACTTGTATAGTGAGTGTTATCAATTCATAAAATCATGGAATTATTTAGATTGGAAAAGACCCTTAGGATCATTAGGTCCAACCACTAAGCTGGCAGTGCCAGGTCCACCATTAAACCATGATCTTAGAAGTCTTTTCCAACCTTAATGATTCAATGATTCTATGATTCTATGTCCCTAAGCACTTCATTGTTTCAACATCTCCAAGGATGGTGACCCACCACTTCCCTGGGCAGCCTGTTCCAGCGCTTAACAACCCTTCTGGTGAAGAATTTTTTCCTAATATCCCATCTAACTGCCCCCAGGCCCAACTTGGGGCCACCTCCTCTTGCCCTATTGTTTGTTACTTGGGAGAAGAGATCAACTCCCACCTCACTACAACCTCCTTTCAGGTGCACGTCCAGGCAATCAAATGGCACATTGTCCCAGCAGGAGGAAGGAGGTGATCATGCCCCTGTACTCGGCACTCGTGAGACTGCACCTCGAGTACTGTGTCCAGTTTTGGTCACCACAGTACAAGAAGGACATCGAGGTGCTGGAGCGGGGTGCAGAGAAGGGCAACAAGGCTTGTGAGAGGTCTGGAAAACATGCCCTATGAAGAGCGGCTGAGGGAACTGGGTTTGTTTAGTCTGGAGAAGAGGAGGCTGAGAGGAGACCTTATTGCCCTCTACAACTACCTAAAAGGAGGCTGTAGTGAGGCTGGTGCTGGTTTCTTCTAATTACTAATGACAGGACAAGGGGAATTGGCCTCAAGTTGCGTCAGGGTAAGTTTAGATTGGATATTCGGAGGAAGTTCTTTACTGAACGAGTGGTGAGGCACTGGAACAGGCTGCCCAGGGAGGTGGTGGAGTCACCAATCCTGGAGGTGTTTAAAAAAAAAGTAGATCTAGCACTTGAGGCTATGGTGTAGTGGTTAGGTATGCTGGGGTGAAGGTTGGACTGGATGATCTTCAGAGGTCCCTTCCAACCCCTAACATTCTGTGATTCTGTGACTCTGTCACTTAACTAGCAACATTCTTACTTCATCAGAATTCAAGGGAGATAAACTGTCAACTGCCTATCTTTGCAAAAGGAAAAAAGGAAGAGTCAGGGAATTATAAACCAATCAACTTTAAATCCATTCAAAGAAAGACACGCTGAGAAAAAAAATCCAATTTGTAAACATCTACAAATTTGTAAATGTCTACAAAACAACCAAGGGGTAAGTAAGAGTCAGAGTGGATTTGTCAAAAACAAATCACATCAACCCAGCCTAAATTATTCCTATGTCAAGGAAATAGAGTTTGTGAATCCAGATGAAGCAGCATCTATCACATCTTAACGTCCATGTCACTGCTGACAAAAAAAATATACATTAAATTCTCAAATGGAAGCTAGAAAAACACTGTCAAGAGAACACTGCCCATAAGACAGATGCAAAAAGGTTTGGAGCAGAAACACTTGTAAATTAAACTACAATAATGTATTGAGTGAACTTCTGAAGGGGCCTGTCTGGAATACAGTTGTATTTGAGTTTCACTAGAGATTAAGATGACTGAATTTGCATTAAATTTGCAAAGAACACTAAGCTGGCCAGAGCCGGAGGCACACTTTGTGCCTGGTTCTTGACAAACTGGAAATAAGACCTGAAAAATCAAGAACGCAATTTAAGAATAACAAATACAAAACACCCATTCAAGAGAGCTGTACAAATAAAAGCCACACACAGCTGAATGCAGAAAAGAATCTTAGGGTTCTAATAAACCGCACGTTCAACAAAAGTTAATGTCATTATACTGGCATGAAAAAGAAAACAATATATTGTGCTACATCTGTATTACCAGGGACACCTATGAAGAAATTTTTGCCATCTACCTGGCACTAATAAGCTCACAGATGAAGTACCGCATCCAGCTGAAGCATCACAGCCAGATATGATGATTAACTAATACACTCCTTCAATTATTCAAGGATGAACAAAGCTTTTGATAAACATCTGTTAAAAAAGACTGGAGGGCACTAAATTATCCAGTCTAGAGTTGCCCAAAAGATACCAGTCTTACCATGTACAAAAGACAGCCATAAAAAGAAAATAAATACATGGTTTTCTTTGTCCGATGGCAATAGGAAAAGCAGCAATGGCCTTACACTGAGGCAAAGGCTATCTAAGTTAGACATTAAAATGCCTATGCCTTCTAGAGTGAACAGACTGCCTAAGACATTTTGGATTCTCCATCACTGACAGTTTTAAGACCAGCCTCCAGATGGAAGTAAAAATGAAAAGGCAAGGTTAAACACAGTGCTGGTTCTGCCCTGAAGCACAGAAATGTCCCATTAAGTTCCCTGCACCTTCTCCCACCCCAGTGTTATTCGTACCACTTGCTGAGGCCCTTCTTGCACATTTACCGTGATGCAAAATTCGCTTTTATGAGCACGTTACCCACATACAGCTAGACAAGCCCAAAGCACAGTCTACAGCATACTCGTCTGTGGAGGTTTTTGAGGTAGTTTTCAAGCTGAAAGTCAAAGCTGTGTGTTTCAGAAAAAAACCCACAAAAAATAACACACAGCTTTTCCTACACGTTTTTTAGTCTTTTTTCTGTTTTACTTAGAACACTTATCCCTTTCAACTGCACTGCTAGTTCATCCACTAAAAGATACAGGTGCAGCTAAAAATGATAATTTGTACAACTATATTCTCAGCCATTATTGAAAATAGAGCAAAACTGTTTGGTGCTGGTTCATTTTACATGTCCTTATGTAGAGAATAACCTGTGTAGCTGAGTGATAAAAAAGTGGCATAGAGTAAAAACCAAATTCTGTACAGTCTACTGCTAGAGTTTGAAAGACAATCCACAAACAGGAACACCTTTTTCTTTTTTTTCAGTGCAGTGGGTTATTAAAAATGATAATTTCCTTCCTAAGATCCTAGAAAATGCTTTAAATGTTTTACATCTCACTGGTTTGTTTCCTAGAACTGTTAATTGAAAAACAGTAGTAGATTTTCTAAAGTTTTTGAAGACAGGAACCTAATTAGTCTCTACAATTTAATAAAGGATAAAGTCCAGGGTAAAAAAAGGAAAAAAATCAATACAATCTTAATATTTTCCAAACATTCAAGTGTTCAAGTCAGAAAATGATTCACTCAGCAAACTTTCATAAAAATATGTAAAAGAATGGAAGCATAAAGTTTATAGACTACAACACCATGAGAATGACCATGAGGATATTAATTCATCTAGTAATAAAGTTATGTAAATTATGGAATTATTTGATTGACAGAATCTTCCCGTTCGGTCCCCATGTGTTGCCTGATCTAGTTGGGAGTAGTCCCTGCCCATGACAGGGAGGTTGGATTAAAATGATCTCTAAGGTCCCTTCCAGCTCAGGCCATTCCATGATGATCTTTGTGGCACGTATTTCCTCCCCCCAGCTAAGCTGTTGCTAGGCAGATTCCCTGGAATCTGCCTACCTGGGCTAGTCCAGACTTGTCTATGGAACCTGAGCTGGTCAGGACTCGGTTACACCCAGGAAGTTGGCCAGCAGCCAATGAGAAGCCGAGATGGCTATGATTGACCACAGTGATCATTGGCGAGGTTTAAAAGTGGGCTTTGCAGTGGCCATGTTGGAGTTACCTCGTGGCAGTGGCCTGAGGAGGTGTCCCCCTTGTTCTAGGGGACCCCTAGGCAAGGTTGACCAGGTGAGCATGGGAACCCCCACCTGGTAAAGGTACCCCCTGGCAAGGTTAAAAGGGAGAACGGGAATCCCCCCTTTTTATGGTACCTTAGTGAAAACAATCAAGACGAGAAAGGGGACCCCCGGCTTGATTGAGGTGAGTGTATGATAATCTGGATTATCATTCTTTTGTCAAGGGCTAGTGCGTGAGCTTGATCTTTGTCTCAACCGATACAGAACCTTTAAATTGGTGGGGAGCTTATATCCTGTAAATAAATTTAAATTTAACTATACGCATGAATTTATTTTTTTTCGGATATGGGCGCGCTCCTCACCTCCTTCTTTACAATCTTCCGACATGAGAACTTAATGTAACTCTAATAACTGTGTTGCTGAAAGAAAGAGATTTACTGTACCAAGAAATTACTTTGTAAACATGAATGACAAATTTAGGCCAAGAAAGTGTCAGGGACTCTCGCTCAGCACATTTCTCCTACATCACGATGTAGCAGGGAAGTAAAGATCAGAAGTTATACCTCTTAAAATGGCACACAGAGTAAAATGTTCAGAGAGGGCTTTTTTGTTTTTATTTCCTAGTGTGTGTAACAAAACAATTTCACCCAATGAACATAAAGCGTTTCTGAAGCATATTCCAGGATTAGCATTCAGATGACTGAACATTTAGGCCACAGAAAAGCAAAATATTGGCTTGAGTTTCACTGTCATTCAGTAAAGTACACAATACCATTTCATCATAGAAATTTTTCACTATAGAGTTTTTTCTCATTGATTAGCAGCAGTGCTTTTAAGCTGTTACTGCTGTTAAATAAAGAATATTTTACTCCTAAGCACCTATGATATTTTCAAGCATACTTCAAATATAAAAATTATTAAGCCCCAAAAAGGACAAAGGCCCAAGCACTTCCCTGGGATATATATATAAATATAAAGAAGGAACATATTATCTATTCAGAACATGTTTGTTCCATACTGAGTCAAAAAAGTTGGATCATACTACCAGAGAGAGTGAGACTGTGCAAGACTTGTAAGTAAATCATGCAAGTTCTCAAACTCAGTTCCTAAGAACACAATTTGTTATGTATATTTCTGCTGTCTTATCACTCTTACATAGCCATTACAGTAGGACAAAATTAATAATCTGAATGCTTTCTGAATGTCTTTAAAGAAGGTCTGGTTTTCACAGCAATTCAGGAACAGACAATCAGTGTACATCGCATTTCAGGTTGAGTTATGTTATTTAAAGTATCTCCCTGTAAAAACTGTAGGCTGCATCTGAGCAGTATTTTTTTTTTAGTATTTGAGCTTCCCAGTCTGTCTTCTACAGCCTCCAATTTTCTCATGTTTCATATAGGGGGAAGGTGGTGTCAACTTCTGAAAGTTATTGTCTTTTATAGATAAAGCTACTGTATATCATTATTAGGAAACTATCACATAGGTAGACAAGCTAATCCATACACATAAGACTTACAAGGTGCAAAATACAGCATTAACGAGAAGTGTGTGAATGTTTCAAAAACTGGTTGCATGCATTAACTTCAAAACAGCATTAAAATGCTCACAGGAAATAACGAGATAAAGTTCTCAGCAATAAAAATTGGTGATTTAGTTTAGTTATTAGTAATTATGGTGCCCTGACGCTTCTCATTTTGAATTTTATTGGAACGGGACAGTTGGCTTCACATTCTATTTTACTTCATGCCACTTCAATGAAAATTATCCTGAACTCCACACGTGCAATCGTGTAACACAGTCACTAACGGCACACTGGCTGACTATGAAACGGCAAGACCAGGGACCACGAGCATGAGGTGGGGGAAGCAATTCTCAACTATCAGGGACCCTAAAAGGCCTGTCTAAAGCCATTTATCTAGCATCACTCAGATTCTAGTAGGCATCAACACAGAATTTAGAGGATAATTCAATAACCTGCAGGATGAGAAAGTGCTCTGTGTAATTCCATCCCTTTGTACTTTTGAGTCCTATAAGAACAGAGGAAGATGAACCGAGCTCATCCCAGAGATGAAGTGCTTCTTGGCATTAAATCCCTACAAGCACACAATTTTGTATTGGTACGTGGAATGAAGGAAGCTTCTTGTAAGAAAGGTAAGTTTCCATCACACAATTTCAGAGTAATGTGCTGCTGATAAGCAAGACAAATGAGCACTGAGAATTTTAAGTCTGACATTCCTTAATGTCATAGGTTAGGGCTAGGCTGGCCCCTAAATGCAGACAGGCACTCTCTAACCCCCTTTCCCCCCCAAACGGGAAGGGAAAGGGAATGACGTGGAGAGACTTATGGGTCAGGAAAGAAAAACTAGAACAGCTTTAATGAAACAATAATGGAAATAATAGTGAAATGACAAAAATAAAGAACTACATACAACTATATATAAGCCCGATATTGAACCTGACTCCCCATCAATAGCAATCCTCACTGATGCCGTGACACTTAATTTCACAGTCTTGACATTTTAGACTCTTTTTACATATGCATGCACTTCAATTCTGTGCCAAACAAATGCTTTTGTAAGCCAAAAATAACAGATACAAACATCTACTGGTCACTTTTCCACCTGGGATACTGCTTTGTCTTCTTTTAAATAACAAATGATGACAATTAGCAATAACAGTGACCTTCCCAGGCACAGGAAGCCCAACACTGACACTGACGGTATCATCATTTCACTGCTCGCAACAAGAAACTGCCCTTCTAAAATGAAGCACCCTATCAATTAAATAAATCACTTGTAAATAATTTAAAAAGTGGCAGTACTGGGTTCTACATATATCTACTATTTTTTGAGATGTAAAAAACCCGAGACATTGTTTTATTATCAAAATACAAAGAATTCACCCTGTCAACATTTCAAAGTAGCTTAAAATGTTTTGTATTTAAGTGAGTTTTGTCATTAGTTTAAGATGAAAGTTTTACCTAATTACACACCTCAGTGGATTTGCCCAGCTGCTCTCTAAAGAAATTTCCTGGACCCTCTCCAAAAAAGCTGACAGAAAGTGGAAAGTATTTTTTAAATTCATCTCTTGTCCCAAAAAATGTCGACCACATGTTCAAAGATTTTAAAGCTGTTCACCCACAGATGGAAGAACAAATATAATTAATCCATTCTATTCTAGTAACATAACAACTACAGATCTACGCAATACATTTAATTATTTGCACAAGACAGAGATGTTTTACATGATATTTGGTTACTGAAATTCTGCAAAATGGCTAGAGAGAAATTTAGTATTGGCATAATTTTCTAAGTAAAAGTTTACTGCAGTCAGCCTCCAGATTCTGTAATACTTAAGCCAAGGAAATTTCGCTTTTTCTCACCTCACTTTTTCAGTTTCCTCAGTAGCATATGCTATCCTAGCACAGAGTTAATAAAAGTATCTTCCATGACAGAAAAAGACATTTTAAACTTCATAGACACTGCCAATATGAAATCTGGTCTGCTTCAAAAAACCCCACAAACCATGATTTAACTTATCTAGTATCGAATTCCACCTGTTTTGAGGTATCTCCTATATATGTAGATTTACAATCACATAAAAAAAATATTGCTGCTGTAGGAAACAAGCCAACGTAATTTACAAATGTAACATAGAAAATGTCATAGGAATTAATTATATGAAACGTGAAGATCAGGTGTAAATGTACATAAATCAAAAAACTAAACAATTCTTTTTCTAAAACAGTAATCTTCAGGTTTGCTTTTTAGAAGTAAATCAACCTAAAAATAAAATTTAACTTCAAAAAAGAATTTAAGAATTCAAACAGCTGAACTAAACTTTTGGTTCTTGGTAGTACCAAGAAGAGTAAGTTCTGCATCCAAAACTAAATATTTGGAAATGACAGAAAAAAACTTGGAAGACAACGGGAGCTTCTAGATCTTTTTGAGACTTCGAACTATTTGGAGTCATTCAGTACACAAGTTTCTTTCACTTGAAACTCTGGCTTCTGAGCAATCACAAGAGTCCCCAAAGCTGAAGCAAAATCTGCTTGAGAAAGTGAGAAAAACTACAACTCGAGAAAGCTGAATCTTACTTGAAAGACATGAACTGCCTTTGTATCCCAGTGAAGATTTGAAAGTAAGGCCTGGGACTGAAAATAGTATCTACTTATAGCCACAATTATACCCCATATCTCCTTAAGTGGAAGCAGCCTATAAATTCGTATTAGCCTGAAATTGAGTTTAACCTGAAAAGATGCAAACTCTTCCAAAGGTTGCCTGGCTTTTCACCAGTTTCAAGACATTTACTTCATATGCAATTTATTCGGCCTTTCCAGACACCACCAGTTTCCACTCCAAAGTGGTAGATCAGAATAAATAAATCACATGAAAGATCATTAAGCTATTAAGTTATGCTATCTTCTCTACTTTTTTTGTTGGTTTGAAGTTCTTTTATTATTTATTTATTTCCTTTGGAAAGAGAGGAGAATCTAAAAAAAAAACCACTAAATGCGATGGTATACTTTGTCCATGTCTGACAAAATTTATTTAAGAACATAGTAGGTGAGTGTCCTTGGTAACAGACAAGCTGTCAGTGCCAATAGACTTTGCTCTGCTTGAGTGAACACAAAAGGACTCTTATCTTTTCTCTCATTGACTACAGAAGGCACCTAGGGAAATTAGCATAATTAGGCTAAAATTAGCCATTGCAATACTGGTGAAGAGCCATATAGATTCACTCTCCTCACAGAACCTGACATCTTATTCAGGAAAATGTAATTTTTTTTGGTTACTGAATTTTCCAACAGACAAACACAAATTATCTCCTAATTTAGGAAGTCCATTCATCTGCTTTGCTCAAAGAAGACTTCATTAGGAAGTGACAGGGATAGCAAACAGATTACCATAAGGCAGAGTTCTGTTCAATAACATTCGTTTGGAAGTGACATGTGCCTTGTAAATCAAAGAGGAGGTTGGCAGGAACTATTTGCCACCAAAGATTATGCAATGTATGTCTCGCCAGGAACTAAGCTGCAAAGCTATTCCCTAAGAGGTCTTGCCCAGGCATTTTTACACAACGAATCAAAGGAGGCAGGTTAGTCTGGCTCAAATACATTAAAATAAACAAGCAAATAAAGAAATAAATATCTCATTATCCCCAGTAAAGTTGCCCTGCTAGTTTGGGGCACAAGGGGACACTTCCCTCGGTCAGCAAGAACTGTGTGCATTCCACCAGAACAAGAGATTCTACTCCAGAGTAGCAGCACTCTACTACACCCTTCCGTTCCCCTGAACTGCAGCTCCATTTCATTCCATCAGCTGGGAGTCATGTCCAAAGGAAAGCCCACCAGTTTTACAGAAATCACAATGAATCTCCACACTGCAATCCCTTTTAAGCGCAAAAATCCCACACCGCAATCCTAGAATTTATTACATTCCTGTTGTACTAGCTGGGAAATACAGTGCTTAGAAGGGAAGTATGACAGAACTCTTAACACCGATTGCACCCATCACCACTGGGAAAACAAGAGCTCCAAATCTTGATTTTGACACTTTTAGTTATGCCCTGCAAGCTGGGATCTGAATCCTGAAATACTTCAGCTAGTAAGATGGTGAGGTTTAATATTGAAAACTTTTTCCTCCTGACTACTTTTCAGCTAAGAGGAATCTTTCTGGGTGTTATTTCCTGCATCTGGGTGTTGTTTTCCACCATCGCTCTCATTGCTGGAGAGCAAGGAAACACTGTCTTACCTATATAATAGCTCCAGGAGATCTGTTCAAAGATTCAGAATATGACCTCACAGAACAGGTTTCCTGTTTGTTCCAAAAGAAGTTATTTCTGCAAAAGACGAGCCCAGCCACAAAAGAAATTTTAGACACTGAAAGCAAACCACTTCTCTAGCTCCAGCTGGTATCTGCTCTGCGTTTAGACCCAAATGATACACCCTGCCACATACAGAATCTTCTCAGTTCATGTTAACTGACAGATGCTTTGTGACTTCTGAAATTACTTTCCCATAGCAAATAAGCAGAGCTGTAGTCTTATTTAATGTAGTACATTTACTCACAGAATTAGTTCCAAGAACCTGCAGCTTTGGTTCGCCTGATTCCAGAAGCTTGGCTACCATATGAAGGAAACTTTCCACGAACGGTTTTATGCTTTGAGAATGGCAAGCCATTAGAAGTTGGTCCAATGCCTCCATGGCAATTAAAACATACCTGAAAATAATTACAGTACAGAGACATAAAAATGTGCCACATTTATCATTACCTGAATTAGTTCAATTTAGGTCCTTATTACTACAAATTAGAAAAAGAAGAACAGAAGGCATATATTTCCCATTGTCTAAAAATGGAATTTATTGGTACTTCCTACATTCACATTTTGTCTTTCTTCGCTAGAGGAGATGGAATGCTTTTAGGAGAGATGTCACAATACTTGGTAACAGAGTAAATATAGTTCAACTTTATTTCCTAGTACATTTCATTTTCAATTATAAATCCCAGCTTTCTAGTCTACAGATGCTCTGTCTATCCAAATCCCAGTATGGAAAGGCAGCTATTTATTCATATTCCTGCACAGTCAGACAACATGCTAAGCAAATGAAAAAGAGTAAAGGAAAGCAGTGAACAAAATTACAATAAAGAAAGGTTATTTACCCATTCTATAAAGTTATAAAAATACCTTTTGACATTATGATGGCCTGTGATGGATATTGCCTTTCTTTTCCAAGTCCTGCCACTTCTTACACTCAGTATTGTCCTACTCCACTTCCACATTATTTAAGATCTTCTCCCTTTTGACTCCACACCCTTTAAATTTTCTAGTTCAATAGGACTTAAGTATAAAACAGAGTTTTAAAGTACCCATTTAAATACAATTTAGTCAAAATGTCCAAGAAGGCAGACATCTGTGCTTTCCACTACCTTGAAAGACACTGAAGGGTGCATTGGGTTTACAAGGCAAAGTTTTGGCAGCAGCAGGGCTGCAGATGTAGCTTCTGTGAGAAGACACCAGGAGCTGCCCCGATGTCAGACAGTGCCAGCTCGAGCTGGCTTCGAGATGAACCCACCACTGCGCACAGCTGAGCCCCTCATCGACACACGGAGAACCACAGCGGAGCACCTATTCCCTCTGCGCGCCATGGAAGGTGCCCCACTGGAGCAGTTGGATGTGCCCTGGAGGAAGCTGCAGCCCAGGGAATGGCCCCGCTGGAGCAGGTGGACGTGCCCTGGAGGAAGCTGCAGCCCAGGGAACAGCCCCACTGGAGCAGGCTCCTGGCAGGAGCCGCAGCCCTGTGGAGAGGAGCCCAGGCAGGAGGAGCTTTTCTGGCCAGACCTGTGGCCTGTGGGGGATCCGTGCTGGAGCAATTTGTTACTGAAGAGTAAGCCCCATGGAAAAGACCCACGCTGGAGCCGTTCTTGAAAGCCTGTGTCCCGTGGGAGGAACACAATGCCAGAGCAGGGGAAAAGCGGCAGAGACAAGATGCCACGAGCTGAGCACAACCCCCATTGCCCATATCCCCTTGTGCTGCTCAGGGGAGAGGAAGTAAAGGAATTAGGAGTGAAGCCGAGCCTGGGAAGAAGCTGGACAGAACAGAAGGCTTTTTAACTGCTTTTTATTTATTTATTTTGTATTTCTCATTAACTTACTTCGCTATTAACTGGCAATAAGTTAAACTAGCCTCCCACAAGTTGAGTCCTTGTTGCCCATGATAGTAATTGCTGAGTGATCTCCTTGTCCTTGTCCTGTTCCCGTTAAATTGAGGAGGAAGAGGGTGAGAGCAGCTGGGTGGGCACCTGGGAGCCAGACAAGATTAACTCACTACCAAGAGACTGGGTCTGTCTTGCCTCCTAAATCTGATCAGAACAAATGTGATGAAATGCAGCTACACATTAGCATCTATTTTTATGCCTGTGACTTATTTTCTTACCCATAGCGATGTCTGACAACATCTCTGCTCAGTCTCTCTGCCAGGTAAGCACCAATTCGATCCAGCTTTTCTGGTGCAGAAACCGCATAGAAAGTCAGCTTCTCCATATCAGCTTTAACAAGACCATCCTAAAACCAGACGTACAAAATATAAAATAAAAAAGTTCACAGAAAGCATAAAGCTTTTGAAGTGTTGCTCCTTTTGTCGAGTCAATATCTAAAGATCTGAGCCATACAGATGGGAATAACCTACTGAAAAATAAAAACACAACCAACGTTAAAACATGACGCCAGTTCTAAGACACATTTTTTTCCTACTGGTACAATGTAATCCTTTTCTTTTCCCACTCCTCCAGAAAGTATATTTGTTGCATAACTTTGACACTATATACAAACAAGATTGTAGTTAAAATATTTTAGATTGTAGTTTAAATGTTTTATTTCTTCAGTGTCACATCTTGGACAGGGCTGACACAGCAGATACCTGAAGGCTAATTGTTATTATAAGATCAAAGATTAACGTAACAGTCCCAGGTGAACTGTGATAGGGAGCTCCTCCAGTGAGGTTCTAACTATCAGACAAGAAGGATAAGGATTTTTGGTTTGTTTTTGTCTTTGATTTGTTGAGTATTTTTGCTCGAACTTCACAAAACTATTATCTTTTTCAAAGAGACTTCTCTGAAGCTTTTAGGAGACTCGTTCTGAGTTAATGCATTTTACCAAGGAAGTCTTCTCACATTTTAGAAAAGGCCAGAAACTCTATGAAACATCATGGACCAGCTCATGTCCTGCACTGAGCCACTGAGTATCGATGAAAGCAGAGACTAAGGAGTACCAACGTCAAGGGACTGAGTAAGATTAAAGCTCTAAGACTACAACTGTAGCAATTTTTGGTGTTTCTACAAACAAGTAGATCAAAACAATTAAATCCAAAAAAGCATGCTGTCCCATGCTTTCATGTTGCATACAGAAAACACTTCCTTGGAAGTCAGTAACATACACTTCTACAGTAACCAGCACTCAGCAACAGCATATTTTAAAGAAAAGCCAACATTATTCAAATGTTGGCTGTTGTGCTTATTTCTACTGTAATACAAGGAAACAAAATCTGGTAATACATTTTAAAAAATAGAGCAGCAGAAACATAACCTCTTGACCAGTCTGAAGCACCACGTGATTATGTATAGGCACTACTAAACGTTAACACAGAAGTTACTGTTTTCACAGAGAGCAGGAGCTAGGCTTTAACATAGCTCCGAGATCGTTCCAGTGAAACGAAATAACTGTGCATGAATAACTGGAGAAATTAAAAACAAAACAAAACAAAACAAAAAACACCTTTTGGATCACAACAGTCTACCAGAACTATAAAAATTTACACAGACATTATGTGAAGAGTTAGAAAATAAAAATCTTGTAGAAAATAGAAAACAGAAAATGTAAGCGCTTGCAACCACAACAAGCGTTTGTGGTTCCAGGTAGTTATAAAGTTAAGTGCTACTTCTGCTGCAAAATACCCTGTTTAATTAAATCTCTGAACAAAACACACTAATTTTACTCTTCAAGATGCACAGCGCTGCTTTGAAAAGGGAATTAGACCAGATGATCCGTAGAGGTCACTTTCCAGCTAAATTGTTCTGTTAACCTCTATTAACGCTATGAAGCACTAAAGCAGAATTGTAAAAATGTAAAATGTAAAATGTTAAAATAGAAAAGAAAAAAAAATTGTTAAAGCATTAGTTACTAACAAAAGCTTTTCAAGTGCCAATCCTGTAAAATTTTCAGTCACCACTCACCTTTGGATCTTCAGGAAATATGTTATCTACCAGGCGCTTGTAGCGAGGTCGCAAAGCAGCACAGCAACAGCACACTCCTGCAGAGAGATTTACCCAATAGAACTTAGAATTAGGTTTTAGGAATTCCAGTATTTTCATTTGAAGTGGCTAGCTGACCAGCAAGAAAAAAGATACAGCAAATGCTTGGGTACTAAAGATGCACCTGTCATGCAGTCATACTTAAAAACATGCAAAAAATTAATTAAAAAATTTAGTAATATCAAAACCAAGGCTATTCCATTTGCTGTTTTATCTTCATTTTGAACGATCATTTCAAAATATATCTGCAGATGCATTATGTTCACTCTTCTGCAAAAGAAGTCAACTACGCAAATTTCTGTTTTCAGGCAGGGACGTAAAGCAATATAAAGCATAATATAAAACCAAGTTCTTCCCTCATTATCCTACTATTTTACTGAGCATAGGACAAAAGACAGTCACATGAACTGACTAATCCTGTACTCACAGAAAGATAATCAGAACAAAACATGTATCTAGAAACCTTACCAATTTTAAAAGAATCATACTGTCTGCTCTAAGAAGATAGAAACCTACAATGTATGGTTTGTTTTTTCTAGCAAGAACTCTGAAATAATTCCAGTTTACTTGAGGTAAAAAAAATAATAAAATAATACAAAACCAAACCTGAAAAAATGTTTCTAGTTCAGTTCCTTTATCAGCACAGATTTGTTCCCAAGGAATTCAAATGTTTTGACAAATAACGTTTTAAATGTCTCTAACTCACTTGTCAAACCTCAGATTAACACTAAAGGAGCTTTGATGCATAAGAGCCACTAAATAGGAAAAAATATACTGAATAATAATAATATAGCAAGCATGCATACAGATCAGCGGCTGTCTGGTCTTTCAAATCTCAGCAGCCAGAGCATTCAGAGCAGCTAAATAACTTACAAATGTTTTGTGAAAGCTATTCATTTATGTCCTCCACAAAAATCATAAAACACTGCTAAAAATAGTAGAAGCTGCAAAAACTTTTACTGCACATCAAAATAGGGAGAAGAATAAAAGATATCTTGGCAGTAACTTTGATGATTATAATTTATCTGCAAATTTTTCAGGATGTGAAGCAGTATTACACAAAAAAATCAGGATTTGTATTTCTTTACAGATAACCTTAGTTGGTTTTAACCATATTTATCATTATTTGGGAGATTCAGGACAGAGACTTCCACTGCTGTACTTCTTAGTACAGTCTCTACAGAAAAAGATATTGTCCCTCTAGTCCCCCTGTTTTCTGACATTACTTGTCTTTTGGACAGAAAACTGAACTGTGCTTACAGTCTGACAAGTTAATTCTTGCAATTTATTTAATTAGAAACAATTAATAAAAATAGATCTATGACTAAAAGCACATTTTAAGTTCTCCTCAGTGGCCTTTTAATTCAATTCATCAATTACAGAGTCATAGAGCACCAGTAAGATAAACACAGACTTACAATTTCAAAACAGTTATGAAAAAAAAACCACAAAGAATAAACTGTAATATTAAGAACTTCTGTGCCAAACAGTACTTTGTTACCACTGTTAAGTTCTTCCCATGACTCCTTCTGTCGACATCTCCTACTTACAGAAGTCTAATGTAAAAACCTACATTTACATAAGAGCTGCAGGTCCTACGCAGCTAAAAACTATTTCATATGCCACTAGAAAATATAAGTATCCGTAGAGGTTAAAAACCTACTTGAACTAAACTTAAATAATTCAGGTACTTGTACAAATATATTCTATGGAGAGCAATGTTGTGCAACCTTTTAAAAGTAAATAAATTCATAATACTGAAGCAGTATGTCATTACTGTCTAGTGTATCACTCAATATTTGGAAATTCAAGTAACATCATCAAATTCAACCAAACCCAGACCCGATATTGCCAAATGGTCCTTGAGTTAGTATCTAGCTCTGCACCTGCCTCTACACTCTTCGCACCTGTGTTTTCCTGATTGATTTTCTACCTTATGGACCACTAACACTGGTCCAGAGTAAACATTCTGCTTGATTACTGCTAAGTATAACAAAATATTCTTACAGTAATTAAATATTTTGCTACAGCTACCTAAAACATAGCAAGAATAGTAAATATCATAAAATACTGTTTGCAAGGCAAAGGCAATTCATGCTTCTACAGTTAGATTCTCCCTCCTTACGTGACAGGAGAGTAAAAACTTGCAAAGGCCACAATTTAAGTTTTCAGGGGTTTAGAGCTGTGACAAATACATAAACTGAACATAAAACCTGGATATAGTCACTCCTCTGAAAGGAAGAAATATCAGGTAACAGCACCAACTCATTCCGACAGCCTTCCCAGATAGTTTCAGTTAATGGAAACTCAATAGTGTCCAAACACTGCTCTTCAAATTACTGCCATATAGTGAATTTTTACATTTAAAAAAGGGTTAACAGCAGGTATATTACATAAGATTTGAAAATTCTCTCTTCTCCTCATCCTGGATTTTCAGTGATATATTTAAGTTGCATGTAATTAATTATATCTCAGTTTACCAAAAAAAAAAAAAAAGCCCACATTTTCAAACAATTCTCGATCACCAAAATGCAAAACTAAAATTAGTATGAATTTTAATGTCATTAAAAGAATTTTCTAAATTAACAGCACACTCCAGTATTAGAAAACTGGGGTTAATCTATCAAACCTTTCAGCCTCCAAAGATATTTTGAGTAAAGAAATCTAAGCAGAGTAACATCAGAAAAAAAATTAAGTGACAATGGAAACAGAAAAAAAGAAAATCAAAACCCAAAACTAAAACAATTCCCACATTAATAATGTGGGAAAATTATCTACCATTGCTCAGTGTTTTGATATAACCAAGAAGGATTAATAAAAACATAGAAATAGTTTTTCAAAAAGTATGAATATTAGAAATATTTAAAA